TGTATGCATGTAAATAAGAACTCATTTATATGTGCATATGGTTTTGTGTAAGACCAGACACATTTAAGTATATGGTATAGGGTAAATTTTTATGTCCATTGAGGTGAATGCTTTAAAATGTGCTTTGAAATTACCGTATATAAGAGTGTACAGTGTACATATGTAAGTATACATACACACTCCAACCATGCAGACATGTTCATGCACCTGTAACTTTAACCCAGTAAATAAAAAGTTTATTGTGCAAGCAGACAGAGAGGACGCAAACACAAGGAACAACATTGACTTTCTTAAGCACATAAATAATTGCCATATCCATGACTTTATTTCAGACAACATACAACACATACTGAAGTTGTTGTGTATTAAAGTAAAGTAAAATTGTTTAAATTTAATATAAAAAAGCAAAAAAAAATATCAAATTTAGTAATAAGGAATGCCTAGTAATTTGCAATTTTTCTTTACTATCTTTACTATGTACGAGAATTCCCTAGAAGTATGCAATCTTTTTGCGGTTGCTGTCCCCTACAAGTTTTTGAGCTTAATTTGTTGACCAAGTACCAAAAGCAATTCGCATTGTTTGAAAGTGCTAACATCTGTACGCATTTTTGTTATTACGGCTCCTTTCGTTGTTCTTTTAGTTTCTGTTATGACTTGTTTGTTTATTTGTTTGTATGATTGTAACACACACAAAAAAGCTAGTAGCACCCTCCAGACGCATTGTCGTCTGATAACAAAAACAAATGGTATGCGAAGAGCAGGAGAATTCATTTTAACAGAATGTTAAAAATAAATTGTTGCGCTTAATGTTAATGCTAATGTTAATGCTAAGGTTAATGTCAATGTTAACAGTGATACCAGATAGTTGATTATATTAATAAAATTTGGCGTAACTTAATATGAGTGACTTATTTATAGTTGATTTTTATTTTAATTATTTATTTATTAAACACATACTAGGTAATAATATCAGAGTTATAGCTTTAACAATAGATTCTGTACATAACTTTTATTTACATTATATTAGTTTTTAAAAATAATTTTTTTCCCATTGAATGACCAGTATTAACCTTCATTGTTTTTATTTGTGTCATACACTATCACTATTAAATAATTAAAAATAATCAAAACCATTAACAATATTGTCAACAAAGCATTTTTAAAATCTGCTAAAATATCTGAACCACATAGAGTGAACTTTAGCAGAAAAATCTATCTATGCAGATCTTTTCGTTTTTTAACTAACTGAAAAAAAATAATATACAATAATTTTTCATGAATTCAGCCAGTATTATTGACAAAGAAGGTTGACTGCTATAATTGGTTAACTTTTATTGATCACCTTAAATAACTGAAATATTTTTTTCAAATTGTAAAATGTGACAACAGTATTTTTGACAGAATATACATATTAAAATTAAAATAAAAAAGTGTAATAAAATTTAAGTAATAGTAATAGAGTTAAAGCCTAGTGTGGGATAGTGATAAGCCCCCCAGCCATTCTAGAGTAAAAGTGCGTAATATCGCTAACTCAAGAACAAGAAGAAGAAGAAGAATAGAGTTTTGATTTAATTTAAGTACTTCAAATTTGGATTGCTAACTATGGATACAATTGCAAATGTCAATTACTTTGTAACAAAAGTATATGAGACTTTCTCTCTACTACCTATTATTACGGGGTTTTTGTGGATTCAAAACGGCTTTTTTAGCTAATTGAGGAGAACTCATCCTCCTTCCACCACAACTAACTAACTAAACGTAATTGAAATAAAAGTAAGTAATTGAAAAATTTCTGATTACAATAGTTTCAGTATTTTTGGCAATATTTTTAAATAAATCAATGAAATTTTCTATGATTCATAATTTTGTATCACATAAAATTTTATACCTAACATATATTTTAGAACCTTACGAATAATGAAAGGAAACAATTTAAACTACTGACTAAGCCCTTTATTATGTGACAATATTTTCATAAATACTGAATGTTATGACGTTTACATTTTAATGGTTATAAGTAAAAATGTTGATTTGTATTATTTAGCAAAATATCAAATAATTCTGAAACTTTTTCAATGACTAGATGCAAAAATAAAAAAAAAGTAATTAAGTTTGCGAAAAAGAAAAATTGATTTCATTTTTTCAACAACTTAAAGCAAAAATTTTCAATATTGCATATGAATTCCGCATATGAAAATTCATATATTTCCTTACTTACAATCAATTGTTCAAATACCACTTTTATTACCTTTAATGACTTAACAAGTTTGCACAAAAAAAAATTATATGTGGCGTGTACAGTACATTTTAAAACAATTTTTAATCAATTGTTCAAATACCTCTTTTATTACCTTCCCTTGCTCCTGTCCTTTTTCCTTGCACAAAAAATTATTATCACAATATATTATAAACCAATTTTTAAATAATTTCAAATCAATTTATTTATTTATGCTAATTTTGACAATTTTGCATAAAAAATAAATTACTTATTGCCATTACAGTATATTTTTATTAATTATTTAAATATTTTTAACTAATTTTTAAATAATTTTAACTAATTTTTAAATAATTTTATTTATTTTGATCTTAACTATACTTTATATAAAACAAGAATATATATATAACACTTTTCGAGAAAATATTAAAATATGGCATCATTACCAAAATTTCCAGCATCCTTTTCTTCACTTTTACGTTGCAGAACATATTGTAACTGTTATTAACATCGGCTCTCTTTTCTGAAATGTTAAGGATCCTGTTAAAATGTGCTATCGAATGTTCTCAATTTTACTACTAATTTCTACTACAATTAATGTTTGCCTTCGTTTTGCAACACGTTGTATAAGATAGCCCCTCGTACGGCATTTGAACCAATAAACTTGAGCACGAGCAACAGTTGCCAATGCACAGCGATGCCTTCCGCATATCGTAGTTATCCTTCGAATTGTTCACATCGCAGTCGCTTGACGACGGCAGACGGAAAAATAATTTGAGTTATACGAATTTCGTGTGAACTTTTATATGTATTGGATTTGTGTGTGAGTGTTTGTAAGTGAAATTTAAATTTGATGTGCGATTAAATTTTGTCAACCAATGATTTTTCTTTAAAAAAAAACATAAACATAAAGAAGTGTTAAATATGAAGTAAAATTTTATTAGCATTTAAAGTGAAATTTTCGCTTCACTAATAAATTAGCAGATAAAAGTTTTAATTGCACTTCACAGTTAAGTGAATGAATGTTTAACTTTTGACTCGGCTTATCAAAATTTTGAGTATAGCCTTAAGGCTCTAATGTACTACAAGATAAATTATATATTTCTAACCTTCGTTGTAAATATAATTTGTTATATTTGTATTTATTAGAACTTTTCTCAAGTCAAGTTGTTCAAATTTTATAAAATTATATGTAGATATATTACTATATAAAATATTTTAAAGTAATAAAATATAAAAGTTAATAATTGATATGATTTTAAATGATTTACATAATAAAATAGAAGGTATATGATAAGAAATTATATTAGCTTTGTTCAACTAAAATCTTTTATTTATGTATAAATACTATAAGCTTTATATTTTTGGCAATATTTTTAAAATATATATACAATTTTTTAAAACTTGTTAAGTCCATCATTTTTTTTTCTATCCTGTTACTATTTATGGTATACTAAAATACATCTTCACCTCTTTGGCATAATAAAGTACGTATCTTCGTATATTAAATCAATCGAACTTTATCCAATAAGTGCTGGAGAAAAGTGCTGGCCATTTATATTTTATGTGAAATACTTTGAAAAAGCCTTTTCAGCACGGTACAATAAAATCCTATTTTCCACTACTTATTGGTCAGTAAATTGGCTTTTGTTCCAATCAAAGTGAGCAGAACATCTATGTGGCTATTAAAGGTTTGCATGTTGTCATGCCAATTAGGATTTTATCATCACAAATGCAGACAATATATTTCAGCTTAGGTACCTACATCAGCTTAACATTTCAAGTGTTTGGTATTCTTTTCACAAGTTAAATTGTTGAATAATTCGCACCGAATTCTCACATGTCAGAGTTGATAAAGAGCAATACCTATATACAGTATATAGATATATAGTATACGTAGAGACGTTTACTATAAAAAGTAATAAAAACAAAAAGTTTAAAAATTTTTAATTATTTGAAATTTTGTATTGTGGAAATTTAGTTAACAAATTTAGTTAGTAAGATATAAATAAAATTTGTTAACGATTAAAAATTTTAGATAAAGGAAATACAAATAGTAGTAAATATATATATTTATATATTTATATGTAATTATATATTATATATATAATTATATATATATTTGTTTATAAGTATTTGTTTTTGCCCGACGTTAGATCGATTTTGTAATTTAATATTTGTTTTGGGTTTGGGTCAGTTTGTTAAGGAGTGCTGACTCTGAGCTTCTAATTTGGCAGGACATGAGTTCGATTCCTGGTACTTGCAAACTCAAGAAAATAATTAAATACAAGAATTATTTCCAAGACCACTGATGATGGGTATTTGGCAATAC